AGGATTGTCGCAAGTTCGAGATCAGCCTGGGCTACAAAATGAGCTCAAGGCCAGCCTGAACTATATAGCAAGACCCTGTCTCAAAAAGACAAGAAAATAAAAAAAAAAAATCAAATGAACATTCTTCAATAAAAAGCAGGTGCCAGGTATCTGTGTTTCTTCACAGGATTTAATAGCCATTGGCCTCTGCAATGTCGTCAGCTCCTTTTTCAACTCTTATGTGTTCACTGGTGCCATTGCCAGGACGATCATCCAAGACAAATCTGGAGGAAGACAACAGGTGTGTTGAAAAGGAATTTGCTCTCTAATATACGGAAGTGGATGACAATTCGTAGGCCTGTTCACGGCAGGGTTCGCTGGGTTTAGTCTTGTTTGAATGCTGTGTGTCGTGGGGAAGACTTCTTACAGCGATGGATTCCATGCTTGCTTTAATTTTTGTTCAGATTTTATCTTAAAAGCTACTGATCAGTATGGAACTTGAAACTCACTTCCCATAGATTTATTGTTAGAGGTGAAAGGTTTCCATATGTTCGCCCACAGAAACCCATTTTGTGGGTAACGTACCCGAAGTACAGTATTTCAGGTAAACAGCATCAGCTGGGTTTTGGGGTTTGGTTCTGTTTTGTTTTTTCCTATGGGGAAAGGAAGACTATAGTTCTCCTCTCCCTGGCAGCAAAGCAAACCTTTCGACGGCTTCCTCCAAGGCCAGGCTGGGCAGGGGGCTTTCTTGCGATGGGGTCAGCTGCTCATCTATGAGAATCTGGGGAACTTAAAACTATCTCTGTATAAGAGGAAATAGCCTAGGTCAGATTCTCTTCAAGTGCTCTGAATCAATAACTAAATGCTTAATAAACACCACGTGGGAAGCGAGGAAGAAAGATGGAGAAGACCCTAAAGGCAAATCCTGCCTCGTGGCAGGCGTGAGATTTTTTTTTTAATTTTATTAGTATGGTGTCTGCAGTATATAGTAAGTACATGCAGCGTGGAGTCCAAGGTTTACGAGTTTCGAGCTGTAGCAGTAAAAGACCACAAGGTCCGGTGAGGAGGATCCTGTCTCAGCCGTGCAGTGGGGCCAAATGTCAGAGAGTTAACAGAACTGCAGCTGGGACAGACCCAGGGAACGAGTCAGGGTGCAGATGGCAGGGAGAGTGGCAGAGGTCGGAGACCACTGGGGCCGCAGAAGCAGGGAAAAGGGGATAGCCGCGGTTAGAAATGGGAGTGTCAGAAGAGCGCACCCTCAATCTTAACGGGGTGAGGGAGGTGTCACAGCCTGTGGGCAAATGTGGACTGCCATAGAGGATGAACGTTAATGAAGGTCAGAAAGATTAGGAGCAAATGTCCTGAGTAAGATGACATCCTGTCATTGTACAGAAACGACCTTTGCTGTCACGGTGGCCCTTTCCACTCCTGCTTGAAAGAGGGCTGTGCTAAAAGGAAGGTGTGGCCAGGTGCAGTGGTGCACACCTGTGTCCCAACACTCTGGGAGGCTGAGGCAGGAGGATCACAGATTTAAGCTCAGTGTGGCAACTTAGCCACTTAGCAAAACCCAATCTCAAAATAAAAAACAAAGGAGGCTGGAGATGTAGCTCAATGCCAAGGCCCTGGGTTCAATTCCTGGTACCAGAGAGAGAGAGGGAGAGCATGTTCAATACAAACATGAAAAACTTTAAATCAAAAATAGAATGTTTTATTTATTTATTTATTTTCGGTCTTTTTGAGACAGGGTCTCGCTGTGCCGTTCAGGCTGGCCTTGAGCTCACTTTGTAGCCCAGGCTGGTCTCGAACTCCCGATGATCCTCCTGCCTCAGCCTTCCAAGTGCTGGATTTACGGCATGTGCCACCACGCCTGGCCGGGAGTGTTTTATGATACACAGAAATGACAGTTCCAGAGATTAGTTCTCCTAACTTTTCATGCTGTGCCACACTTTGTTTATTCGGTATGCAGCATAAATTGGGGTGGAGGGCAAGATGCACACAGGTGGTGACAGTGGAATCACAGGGCAAGCAGGACTGAGTGTAGAACGCGCAGTGTGCAAAAAGTGCCATAAATCTTGCGGGAAGAAGGGTGGGGCCGGAGCCTGTCAGGGAACCCTGCGGCGGGTGGGGGTAGAATCCAAGCAGAGCGCAGGGAGAGGAGGCCTGTGGACCAGCCTCAGGGTCGTCCTACAGGCAGGACGGTGTCCTGCGCGGCGTGGGCTGGAGAGGAAGAGCTTTGACAGCTGCACACTGGAAGGGCCGGGCCAGCCTTGGCTGGGTCCCTGCAGACGCGAGTGGGTGGGGTGTCCAAGCTCTGAGCCAGCCCATGGTTACTGCTGGACAGAGCACCTGCCTCGGGCAGCCCAGGGCCCTTTCTGCTTTCTGTGGCACATTTCCTTCCAGTGACACCCCTCGCTGCACTGCAGTGACCCTGCCTCGGGAGCCATGTCCCCAGGGATGCTAGAAAGCCCTTCCCAGAGACCCTGAAATGCCCAGCGCAAATCGCTGGCTCAGGCAGAGCACGCCGCAGACCCCGATCCACCACATCCGGGCTACCAAGATGCCAGCTCCACTAGAAGTCACTTGTACTTTTTTTTTTTTTTTTTTTTTTTTGAGACAGGGTCTCGCGATGCAGTTCAGGCTGGCCTTGAGCTCACTTTGTAGCCCAGGCTGGTCTCGAACTCACAACGATCCTCCTGCCTCAGCCTCCCAAGCGCTGGGATTACAGGCGTGCGCCACCACGCCCGGCAGTCACTTGTACTTTTGATCTGGCATAAATGTGAGCTGTGTGTACGTGTCTGCGTGGATGTCCATTTCATCATTTCCTAGACTAGAGCCCATTTCCCTCCACTGGGTGCAGCAAAAAGCGAAAGCTTGCGACCCTTCCGGCCACAGGCTCAGCCTGAGGTCGGGGCAGATCCAGCCCCTGGCCGAGGAAATGTGACAAGCCCTAGGCCTGTGGCTGGCTGCACGGTCCCCGGCTTCTTCCTGCTCATCCAGTTCTGACCGCTGCGCTGCTCCGCTGGGTCCCTGTTCTCAGGCCTTGCTTTCTAAGGACCGGCCTTCGCGCCTCATCCTCAGGCTCCCAGAACTGCTTTAAAACGAGTTCTAAGAAGAGAAATGTGCTGTTCTTTACACAGCAGGAAATGCAGCAGCAGAGAGAGCCTTGATCCTGGAGCCTGAGGGCAGCGGGCTGAGGCGCAGGTGACCGGGGGACAAATTACTTTTGCTCTCCAAGGCTCTGGTGCTGAGGGCTGGTTGGAGGGTGCTTGGGCTCAGTTACCTCTTTTAGCTCCACAGCGTATCCGTGCTTGTTGGAGCTTTCTGAGTTCTGGCTCGGATATGCCGCTGGTTCAATCGGAGGTTACTGTCTTACCCCTCTTACGGTGGAAAATGACACTGCTTTATGCTATATTTATTACTAGGGGCTTACAATATAGAAGTTGACCTACCAATAGAGGATATCAGGAATTCAAAACTATATCTCAGAGTAGATATAGTCTCAGAGCCTTGGGATTATAATAAAGGGACCTCTGGTTCTTAGCTTTCTTTGTCAAATGAGAATCACTGCTTGCAAAATGACCCTGAGCCCAGGGTAGCAAGCTTGGCTGGGATAAGATCAGCACTGCTATATACACCCTTAGCGTGCGTTGGGGTTTTTTTTGGGGGGGAGGTTTGGTTTGTTTTTGTCTTTTTGAGACGGAGTCTCACTATGCAGTTAAGGCCGGCCTTGAGCTCACTTTGTAGCCCAGGCTGGCCTCGAACTCGCAACCATCCTCCTGCCTCAGCCTCCCATGGTGGCGCACACCTGTAATCCCAGCACTCGGGAGGCTGAGGCAGGAGGATGGTTGCGAGTTCGAGACCAGCCTGGGCTACAAAGTGAGCTCAAGGCCAGCCTGAACTGCATAGTGAGGCCCTGTCTCAAAAAGACAAAAAAAAGAGTTGTTTCTTTCATTTTGTGTGTTTGTGTGTTGTGGTGCTGGGGTAAAGCCCAGGCCCTCCTGCGTGCTAAGCAAACTTTCCAACGCTGAGCTACAGCCCCAGCCCAGGTAGTTTTTTTGACTGCACCGAAGCAGCGAGAAATTAAAGGAAGAGCATTTGGGAAATGGTTATCACCAAGGTTCTTAAGATGAAGCAACACCAAACTGTGACATGAGAAATCATCCAAGCTCCAAATGGGACCATGAGGGGTGGAATATTTATTCACACGGGCAGTAAAATGGGTGAGATTTTAGAGCTGTCAGTGAAGACCCCGCTAGGAGTTCCATACATTGTTCCAGGAGACCTGAAAGTTTTGAAGGAATGGGAGTCCCATTTCAGGAGACCAGATTCCCAGCACAGAGCTGCAGCAGTAAGGCTTCAGGTACCCAGGAAAATCTGGAACCTTTCAGAGCGCATTCATGCATTCATTCAACAGATACTTACTTGAGGACCTACTATGTGTTTAGCACACTGATAAGACCTGAAAGTGTCAGCTCAGCAAAAATGCAGGTAGGCTGAACCCAACTCCCTTTAAGATAAAACAGCCTGCTCTTCACCAAGGCCTTGGTGGCAGGCGGGGGCCACTGCTGCTCCTGACGGTCTCTCCCCAACCCGCTCTGTCTCCTCAGTTTGCATCTCTGATAGGCGCAGGTGTGATGCTGCTCCTGGTAGTGAAGGTGGAAAGCTTTTTCTACAAGCTGCCTAATGTAAGTAGAACTGATCACGTCACTAGGCCCAGAGGGTCCAAAGCTGGGCATGCCCATGCAGGCCTGTAACCCCAGCACTCTGGGAGGCTGAGGCGGGAGGATCGCAAGTTTGACCCTAGCTTGGACAACTTAGCAAAACCTTGTCTCAACATAAAAAATTTTAAAGGGGCCAGGGATATAGCTCAGTGTGAAGGTCCTGGGTTCAACCCCCACCACACACACACACATATACAGACCACATCTCTGGGGTGCATCTTGGTGGGATATCTCTAAGGAAAATTACATTCCATGTGTCCCAGTGGTTGCTCTAACCAGCATGTTGTCCTTTTCCTTTAAAATAATAGCAGCTAATTCACAGGCTGAGTTAAATAGTATATATGTCTATTTATATATAAGATATATATATAACAAGATAGTGTCAGACTAATAGTAAGTGCTCAAACAACATTCTTCTTCTTTTTTTCTTTAAGAAACATTATTTTTAAGCCAGGCATTGTGGCGCACACCTGTAATCCCAGCACTTGAGCGGCCGAGGCAGGAGGATCACTGTGAGTTTGAGGCCATCCTGGACTGCATAGTGAGTTCTAGGCCAGCCAAACTACATAG